GTAATAAAGAACACATAAATTTATAGTGGTTCAATCAAATCGACCTACATCCACTCCACAGAGGCACCCTCTGAGTATTACACTAAACACAGTGTCTCTCCTTTTGCCCCCACAGTAAGGCAGAGAAGCCTTTACAAACCTCCTTTCCACTGATCCCGATGAGGTAGAGAACTCAACTCTTTTTGTTTTCTCTAGAAGCAGTTAGAGAACAAAACTCCTTTTACTTCCTCCTGAAGCAGATAGAGAATCTCGATCAGATACTGAAGTAGACCTCTTTAGAACCCCCAAGGAACTAGGGACGAAGACCGGAGAAGACAATGATGGATCCTTTCTTGGAGCAACCTTTGTGAAACCCCTCGCAAGCTCCCCCTCACAAGATCCTCTCTCTCTCTCACTTGCTCTCCCTCTTCTCTTGGCTCTCTCAAGTCAGAACAATAGCAAAAGATACTCTCTTGGGTAGAATAAGAGGTCTTATATAGAAGAGCATCAGAATAGCTCTTAAATGTAACAAACTGACTTTATCATTCATGATGATATAAATATCGTCATGTACGATCAATATAAATTTAGCTCAATCAGCCAATATGATTTGGGAGGATCAGAAGATTTTTGTTCATATCGACCAGGACGATAGTATAACGTCTTGTACGATTAGTACAAGTCATTGAATATCATCCAAAACATCACCTTGAATGGATATCTAGATGATGAAAAAATAACTTGATCATCCATGCTGATTTTGCGATTGTCCCGGATGATTAGTTTAATTTAGTGCATATCATCCAAAATAAAAGCTAGCTGATATTTGATCATCTAGGAACAACTAAGGTTTTTAAATTGATCATCCCGACCAATCTTACAATTGTCTAGGATGATATGATCGAGTAATCAAACCTTAATTGCTTTCCTTAATTACCAGATTAATTTAGAAATAATTGCATTGCATCGTCCAGAATGATGTCTTGGATGATGTCCAAAAATAAAAGATACCAAAATAGATCTAGCGGCAGATTCTTTTTTATTTGAGCCTATCGTCTCAGCCGATAAGAATATTATCTAGGACGATGCGCTTCATGATGGCTGCCTTAACTAGGATGCCCTAATTAGGGTTTTTATTTTTAACCGATCGTCTAGGCCAATTTTTAAATCATCCTGGATAATGTGAGCAAAAATAAAAAAACTCTTAAACAGTCAGAAAAATTCTCCCAAGTGTGTGTGTGCAAGGTTACTTAATATTAGGACCCATAATATTATAATGGACTCAAGAAAAGATAAAATATACAATTTCGTACATTACAAATTGACTCAGTCCCAATCTACCCAATCATGAGCTGGTTCAACTTATAGTTTGATCTTGTAGACCTGAAATATTAGTAGGCAAGATAGTCGTATAGAAATAGAAGTATTTGCTATCATCAAAATTCTATTTCCTAAAATCAGATTCGCAACAATTTATTATACATAGATGCATATAATAACGTGTCCACATAATTAGCCTATCAAATCGAAATAAATTGTATAAATTTTATTCGATGATCTATATAACATAGATGGCATCATGCCCTTACCTTGATCTAGGGAATCCTATAGTAATAATCTATTACCACCACTTCTCATTTTTGCTTTAGAATAAACAATAGTTAAAGAAGACCATTTAGTTCTCGTTGTTATGCTTTCACTAACTAAAAGGATTCAAATTTTCAAATAAAGTTGATCACATAATTTTTCAATCCAAGCCACCAAAACATACCTTTGGATCAATATACATTTTTTACTTACTAGATGTATAACATAATTAGAATTGTGTACTTCATGTAGAATCGCTTGCCTTAGATCTCTGACACTAGGGACTAATAGCCTATTCTTAAAGAGAATGATACCATAATAAGATAATAGTAATTTAGATTTCTTACCATATTTAATTTGATTAACTAGCCTCAAATTTATTATATCATATTTCTGAGCTCCCTGAATCTTTTTCTATATAAATGGTTGTACAATAATTAGAGCTAAAAAACTTAAATCTTGATCAACATATGAAATCACTTTCAATTCCAAATAATTAAATCCTCATAAGTAGAAGAATTAGCATACCAAAAGATTTCCTTCTTAATGTATATACCACTATATTTACCTTATCGAGTTGAAATTGAATATTCAGATCATAGTCCTTAATTAACTCAAACCATCTTCTCAACCTCAGAATCAATTCATTCTATATAAAAAATATACTTTTTGATATAAAGATCAATAAAAATATTATATATTACTCCTTCTAAATAGTACCTTAATATCTTTAGAGTAAATGCAATAATATCAAGCTCCAAATCATGTGTTAGATAGTTCCTCTTATGTAGCTTTAACTACTTAGAAGTATATAGTATAATCTTCATGCCTAATAGAATATTACCAAATGTACTTTCTCTTAGGGGGACACTACAATACCATCAAAAATATTTTCCAATGTCATAAGCCAAACCTTTGATACTCTAGGTTCAACAACACCCTCAAACCTCGGAGGTTTCAACCTCAAAAATATCTAAATTTTTTTGTCCTTATTGTTAAACCTAATATAAGAGATCTTCCTATAAGCTTCACCCATCAATTAGGCAACTAAACTAACAAACTAGTATTTTTAATCAAAACTAACATTATGAGCAGTACTGTATACTAGTTAGTCTGACTAGTACTCCACCCATCAGTTATATCTAAGTTAAGTTGATCCACCAAATAATCATACAAAGTGAACACATCTAAACAAAATATGCACATGAACAAAATAGAATGAATGTTAAACAGTACCCAGAATTATCTCACTTGAATAAAGATTAATTTTGATACATTTATTTATAATCATTTCCCTAAAATCATTACTAATGTCATAACCCAACCCGACCAGGACAGGTCCTATCGTGTTGAGCTGTGATAAGCAAATCCCGTACAAAATAAAATAAATGGAAATATTCATAATGTAGAATATCACAGAATGTTCTACTAGCAAACAAAATATTTAGCAAATTCAGCAAAAATTTCATATTTTTTGGAATTATAGCAAAAATTTTGAATAATTATAAAGTGAAGTTTTTAGGGGTAGAGGTTTGAAAAAAAAAATTATTCTTTAATGGAATAGAGATTGGGGTTCTCACTATTCAATATAATGCTTTGAATGTATTATTAATTTGCATATGATGAAGATCATAGTAGGGGTCATAAATGAGTTATCATAGGTCTCATAAAGAACGAATCAAGAAATTTAAAAAAAAAAAGCTCTGACTTTAATAAAAGTATTGAAGCAAATGCTTCAAAATGTGAGAAATGATGATTGTGATATTTTATTTGAAGAAGTTCGTCTATTTTGTGAAAAAATATTAAAATTATTCCAAAATTGGATGATACTTTAATAAAGTGAGGGAGATTGAGGAAACATGCTCAAACAATCATTAATAGACTAGTAACATGATCAAGTTGAACTATTTTACACTGTGATAGATAAGCAATTTCAAGTGCCTAATTATATATTTGATAAAATAAATATAAAGTTAAAAACAAAAAAAAAACAAAAAAAAAGATAAAATAAATATAAAGATACTTATTGTGTAATATGGATAAATTCATGTGATTTATTTTTAGCTTTTGACAAGGAATGATTTATTTGCTTGGACAAATTTTATCCATCATATTTTTTAAAATAAATATCATTATATTTGACAACAAATTTGATAATTTATCATTTATATGATATCTAGTAATGCATTCTTGAATTTAAAAGGAATCGAATAACCTGCTCCAAAATTAGTGGAGACTGAAAAGAATTACATTTTATGTTTAGCATTCTTACTTCTAATGCTTTCTCTGATATTGTCAATTACGATAGTAATGGTCGAAAGCATTCTCAAATATAAAGATTATAAATATGTTTTTTTTTTTTAAGATTATAATTATCTGTTGAAGCGATTGTATGAGAAAATCTTAGATGAATTATTAAGATATATTTAATAGCATTAATAATTTATAATAATTTTAAAATATGAATACTCAAAGGGAAATCTATAGATGACATGTAATAAGAATATGAAGACAAAATGCTCTTAATTGTAATTTTTTATTATCTAATTTATCTTGTTATAATAGCAACTCTAACATTTTTTTTAAGTATTTTTAAAATGGGTTATTTGTCCCCTCACAAGAAAAAAATTCAAGCTTCGCCATTGCTGTACATAATTTTTTTTAGAATTTCATTTGAATATTTGGCAAGTCGCTATCACATTTTAATATAATTATATTTTTTGTTGTTTTAATTTTTTTGTTTTCAAAAAGAAATTTTTATAATCTAAAGTGAGATAATTATAACAATTTCATAACTTTTTATTGATTATACTATAAACCCTAAAATATTTTAAATGAATCTTACATTACTATATGTTAAAACAAATTTTTGTTTCCCATTTTTGACTTAATGATTTATTTTGAATGTAATTAGAAGATGCTTCAAAGATTGCATGTGAGTAAAATCCTATAGATTTTGTCAAATCATTGCTATGGTTTGGCAAACTAAACATTTGGATCCATTATACTATGCTCCAAATTAGAAATAATAATAATAAATAATATTTATTATTATAGGAATCATATCTTTATTGGTAGGACTATATGGTGGATTTGGGAATCCTTTGGAGGGGCCCTCATATCGCATAAATATTTTCTTAATCTCAATTCTTATCTAAATAAATGAAAAGTGCCTGCAAGGAATGTTAGAAATCAAAAGAGAGAGGATAGTTGGAGAAGAAGATGTTTTGGCTCATTTTCTCATTGCTTGGTTTCGTTTGCTACAGTACTCCTATTTATCATAAAGTAATAACATAAATCTATCATTAGAGAACGTGCAAGCTGGGAGCCATGTGAGTAGTTTTCTGCTATAGAAAGTGGAGGTATAATGTGTTGGTGGACTATGTTAACAGCTCCCCTCAAGCTGATGGTGAAGGAGTGACCTGAAGCTTGGATCAAAGACCGGCAAACCGTATACGAGGGAGAGCTTTAGTGAAGATATCATCAATTTGATCTTGGGAATTTATATGAAGTATGGTAATAGTGGCTGATTTGATGCAATCACGAATGAAATGGTAGTTCACCTCTATATGCTTGGTACTAGCATGAAAGACAGGATTGTGCGCAAGGGCAATAGCAGAAACGTTGTCACAGTAAAGAGAGGTAGGTGTGTCAACATTAAATTGAAAATCAGCCAGCAGTCGACAAATCCAAATAATGTCTGTGGCTTCTATGGACAAAGCCCGATATTCAGCTTCGGTAGAAGACTTTGCAACAGTTTGTTGCTTCTTGACGCACCAAGAAAGGAGAGTATCCCCAAGAAACAGACAATAACCTGTAGTAGATTTCCGATCGGACGGGTCACCAGCCCAATCTGAATCAACATAAGCATGTAAAACAGAGGAGTGACCGGAGATGGGTAAGCCAAGATCAACGGTTCCTTTAATGTACCGAAGAAGGTGTTTGAGAGCAAGAAAATGCTGGTACATGGGACAATGCATAAATTGGCATAATTTGTTTACCACAAAGGCAATGTCCGGTCGTGTAATTGTCAAGTATTGTAAGGAGCCAACGAGATGCCGGAAGAATTCTGGATTTTCAAATACAGAGAGGAAAGTTTTTTCCAAACTCAATTTTGCATGAAGTGGTGTGAGGACCGGATTGCAGTTAGCCATGCCCGCTCTGTTTAAGATATCCAGCGCATATTTGGTCTGATGTAAATGATAGCCGGTTGGGGTAGAAACTGCCTGAATTCCAAGGAAGTAAGAAAGAGTGCCCAAGTTGTGGAGCTGGAATTGGTGCTGGAGATGAAGCAAAAGGTCAGCAATAAGATTTGGATTGTTGCTAGTCACTAAAATGTCATCTACATATATTAGAAAATATATGAGATGTGAATTGTGATTATACACAAGGAGGGAAGGATCGGCATCGCTGTGCCGAAAACCCCAAGACTGCAGATGTGTAGTTAATTTGGCAAACAATTGTCGCGGAGACTGCTTAAGCCCATAGATTGCTTTATGTAAGCGACATACAAAATCTGGATATTGAGGGTCTTTAAAACCCGGCGGCTGATGCATATACACCACTTCTTTTAGATCCCCATGAAGAAAAGCGTTTGACACATCTAATTGAAGTATGGACCAGATTCAGATGACTGCACTCGTGATAAACAGGCGAATAGTAGGCAACTTTGTAACTGGGCTAAATGTCTCCGTATAATCAATGTCATATTCTTGTCGATTGCCTTGAGCAACTAAACGAGCTTTATAGCGAGCTATCGTCCCGTCAGAATTCCTCTTGGTTTTGTAAATCCATTTACACCCAAGGATTGTTTGAGACTTCGGCGGCTGAACCAATTCACAAGTGCCCTGTTGCTGTAATGCCTGGAATTTAGCTGACATAGCATCTCTCCAACATTTATGTTTATTGGCCATAGTGAAACAAGTGGGATCAGGATCTTCAACCACAATGTGTTGGAGATTACACACTGTTTTAAGCTTCAGTTTACCAGTTTGCAATCTGGTCACCATAGGATGCCGGGTAGGACGAGTTGGGGAAGGTGGAGAATAAGTAACTGGGTTGGCTGAAGAAGAGGGAGATGAAACTGGCTCGGGCACATGAGGAGATGGATTTTTTGGAGTGATATTTGAGTTGGCTGATGAAGTAGTAGTAGTATGAGGAACCAGGGTTAAAGGAGATATGATAGTGGTGGGTGGAGATGTAGTAGGAAATGAAGGTGCTGAGGTAGATGTTTGGAAAGGGAATATATGTTCATGAAATTGAACGTGGCGGGAGATGAGTATTATAGAAGTTTTCAAATTATAACAGCGAAAACCTTTATGATTGGAACTATATCCAATGAAAATACAAGCGAAAGATTTAGGGGCAAATTTGTGAGGAACATTAGGTTGAAGCCAAGGGAAACACAAGCAACCGAAAACTTTAAGATGAGAATATGATGGTGATTTCTTGTAAAGACATTGAAATGGAGAGATATATTTGGTGATAGGAGCAGGAAGACGGTTAATTAAATAGACCGCTGTTAAGACAGATTCAATCAAAAAAGAAGTGGGTAAATGGGCTTGTATTAACAGTGTACGAGCAGTCTCAATGATATGCCTATGTTTGCGCTCTGCCAGCCCATTCTGTTGCGGAGTATGAGGGCAACTAAATTGGTGTAAAATTCCATTTGTGGAGAGCAAGTGTTGAAATTGAGTGCTAGTGTATTCACCTCCGCCATCCGATCAAAAATTTTAATATGAGTAGAGAATTGTTTTCCAACCATGGCTTTGAACAAGGTAAATTTAGAGAAAACCTCAGCTTTTGTCACCATTGGATAAAACCATGAAAACCGGGATAATTCATCCACAAATAGCACATAATATCGATATCCATTAAGAGACAAAACTGGGGAAGGCCCCCATACATCCGAGACAACAACTTGAAAAGGAGAATTACAATGAGAACTTGAACTAACAAAAGGTAACCTATGACTTTTAGCAGTTTGACAGTAATAACTGACATTTCTAGTTACAGAAATTTGTAAAGAAGGAAAACAAGATGCTATACGAGATAAGATTGCTGGATGCGGGTGTCCCAGTCTGGAATGCCATGTAGACGAGCTGATAGTGGTGACAAGAGCTTGTGAGGATGGACTGGTTTTGATCAGAATTGAATAAAGTCCATCACGGCATGAACCCGAGAGAAATGAGCGATTGGTTTTCCAATCCTTTATATGATAACCATGAGGAGTGAAAGAAATAGTACAATCGTTATCAGATGTTAAACGATGAACGTAAAGCAAATTATGAGAAACTTGAGGAACATGGAGAAGTGGGGATAAAGATAGCTTACGTTTAGGAGTAGGGAGAAGTCCTTGACCCGTGTGAGATATGGGTAGAGACTGACCATTGCCTACCTGTATTTGTTGAGAGCTGTTATATGGTTGAGACGTAAGAAGTTGACTGGGATCATTTGTGATGTGTGAAGTTGCTCCGGTGTCCAACACGCAGTCAGACGGCTGTCCAGATAAATTAGATGCAGAATTCTCGGTTGAATCAGCTACAAATGCAGTTGGATTTTGTTTAATGTAATTAAGATTAGTGCGTTGCCAGCACTTTTCAGCTGAATGCCCAGGTTTATCGCATATTTGACATTCAATACGGGGAAATGTAGGTCGACCACCGCGAGAGCTGATGAATCGGCCACGGCCACGCTGAGAGCGAAATGGTGGCCTGGATGAGCCACGCGAAGATGTAGCAGCTAGTGCAACAAGGGTTTCGAAAATCTGGACCGAACGAAGTGATCGAGCAACTTCATTCTCAAGGTTCGTCTCTTCACTACACAATAAAGAATAGAAATCATCTAGATTCAATGGCTGGAGATTCGTCTGAATAGCGGTCTTAAACCCTTGATATGATGCTAGTAAACCATTAAGTGTGTACATAATAATATCTTCAGAATCCAGATTATAGCCGGCGACAGTGAAAGCATCAACCTTTTGCTTAATTTCAGTCAAATATTGCTGCATTGTCTTGTTAGCCATTGAAATGAAATTCAGATCATTTTTAATCTGAAGAATACGGGATCTATTAGATGATTGCAGTCATTTCCCAATCGTTTGCCAAATCTTAGAGCAGGATTCCAAGTTCAAAACATAGGGCAGTAGAGGTGCCGAGATTGTAGAAAACAATGCGGCGGCTAAGTTTTGATCAATAAGCATCGATGTAGAAAAGAGTGGATTAGATATCAGTGTACCATTAGTTGAAGTAATTTGCCGGGGAGGGCAGGGAGTGGTGCCATCAAGATATCCTTCAAAGGAATTAGCACGAAACACCTTCAGAATCTGCGACTTCCAGGTTAGGTGGTTTTCCGGAGTGAGCTGAATGGTAATGACGTTCTTGATCATAGACATCAAAATTTTCAGTTGGGGCGGTATGAGAACTGTGCCGAGAACCTGCGCAGATTCGGTGGTACTCAACGCCGAAGATGATGAACTGCCGGATTCCATTGTGCCACACCAGATACCGCAGCGAAAAGATTAGACGTGAGGCTTTCAACTGCTTTGATACCATGAAAAGTACCTGAACGGAATGTTAGAAATCAACAGAGAAAGGATAGTTGGAGAAGAAGATGTTTTGGCTCATTTTCTCATTGCTTGGTTTCGTTTGCTACAGTACTCCTATTTATCATAAAGTAATAACAGAAAGCTATCATTAGAGAACGTGCAAGCTGGGAGCCATGTGAGTAGTTTTCTGCTGGAGGTAGTGGAGGTATAATGTGTTGCCGGACTATGTTAACATAAATTCGGGAATGTTTCAACAAGATGATCCCAATCACATCAAAAGTGTTATGATCTGCGACCAATTTAGCTCAAATCAAGCACTTGAAGTCTTGTTAGAAATCTTATTACATTTGACGCAGCAATGGATTTCCAAACATTGTGTGCTATCTCATGACATTTGACGCAGCAATTGATTTCCAAACATTGTGTGCTTGGATTAACAACAATTGTCTGGATGAGAGAAATCCATAGAACTGAAAAACCACTCAATTTTGAGATTATTAGGAAGTTAAATGCCTCATGAATGATCTATGATTAAAAGAATCAACATGGAACATCCAATGGAGTGTTTGTTGATTTTAGCCAAAATTATCAAAATGATACTCCAAAGAAACTCTATATAAATCTTCATTCTTCACAAAGACTTGAAATAGGAGAGGGCTTAGAGATGTAACGTGGTTTAGAACATTATTTAATTAATGATCGACCCCAAAAATCATGATCAACATCTACTGTTGTCCAATTCGCTTGACCACCACTACCCAATAATCATCTCTCTACCACTATAGCCTTCTACATAGTAACATCATTGCATGCACATCTCATTAATTATTATAGAATTTATAATATGTAAATATCAAATATTTTATTTTATTTTTCTGAGCTTAAATAAATAAAATAAAATAAAATGAACTCCTTTATAAATTTGATCATGAACTCCAATTTTAATGATTTTGGTTCATATTTGCTAACATCTTATCTTGATTGAAAAAATTCTCTCTCTCTCTCTCTCACGCACACACACAAAAAAGATGTTTAGAAGGTTAAAAACCTTATTGTTGTGTCCTGAAAAATTTGCGGCAGTAGAGAGATATGGTTAAACATCTTAGCTTTGCATGACGATCCAGCACACAAACAAATAAGAGAGTATGAGTGTAGTGTTCATAAGAAACACTAAGAATTTTACGTGGAAAACTCTAAAACGGGAAAGAACCACGGGGTCTGGCCCAGTTTGAATGAATCCACTAATATTGGTGATTGATTACAAATTAAGCCCCTCCTCGTAGGAGGGCACTGGTTCAATGTAATAAATCTACATCATATATAGCACATAACATGATAGATATTCTCAAATGAGTGTGTTTTCTCGTTCATTCGGTTGGTAGGGCTATAGTCAGCGGGTGACATAGATTGCAAGAACTGTAGTTAAGCGATGGGGTTCAAAACAATCGTAGTCAGGTGACGGTGGTTGGAAGGATCATAGTCTTGTGTCAGTGGTCGAAAGAACCATAGTTAGTGTGCAATCATGGTCAGAGGGGATCGTAGTAGGTGGGTGGCGCGTTGGTTGGAGTGGACCATAGTCAACGAGCAATAGTGAATAGAGGGAACTGTAGTTAGAAGGCGATGTTAGTCGGAGTGGACCATAGCTACAAATGATGTTTGTAGGAGGGACTTTAGTTAAGCAATGGTGGTTGAAGGAAGGCTCGATAGTGCCTTCTATATGGAGTTTTGATGGTCATTGTCAGCTAAAAATTCATTAGCGACCTAGTGGGGCAGATTCGTCAACGGTGGTGCTGGGGTGGAGCTCCAGGAGTCTTCATACTTTCATGTAAAGAATGGGGTCTATTTATAGTTCTTTGGGAGTGGCACGGCTAGAAATTTGAGAGAAGTTTGAGGGCATGATAAGAGTGTTTAAATGGAGGACTCATATTGATCCTGTTGATCATGGAGTAATTATTAAGAATTTATATGCCCAATTGATGTCATAATTAGACGATCTTGGGCTAATTGGATTCATCTCATCAAGCCACTCGATTTGACTCTAATTATGCTATACTTAGATATCATTTGGTCATCACATTTATGCTTTGAACCTTCCAAATGTACTTCAGTCCATTGAATTGGATTTATTTGGGCTCGAATCAGTCCGATTTTTGTGTCATTGGGTTCATCTCTTTTAGACATTCAGTTTGACTATAAGTTTGATAAAATTGGATTTCAGATTGTCCCAATTTGAATTTTAGAAGTTTTCTACATGAATATGCCTCAAGATTTGTGCTGGATCAAGGCAATTTTTTTGTGATGTATCAGTTGCCCCTTATTTTTAACTATCACAACTCGTATAATATGAAAATATGTATTTGAGTCTTTCAAATTTTTTTAATGTAAAATTTTAATTTTAAGATCATTTTGAGGTGTGAACGCTCCCTAGATGTCAACGTGGGCCTCCACTCTAGGGTTTGAACT